TTCTTTATTTTCCTGATCTTTCTGCAGAGATGTGTCCACAGATGATGCGGATTCTTCTGCTGCTGCTGATGATGCTGGAGGTCGATTAACAACAAATGGAACACGACTGCTGCCGTTGAATGCGATGATACACACCTCATCGTACTTGGGGCACTTGATCTTACCGCTTTCGAACACAGAAGATTTGACATCGATTGAGGAACCTTCGGGACATTCCTTAAATGTGTCGCTACCATTGTATTTCACACTCACTGTTCGCTTCTCATAGTCACACAACACCCGTGCACACACACCATTCTGGTTCAAAATTGCATTAGCAGCGCCCTCAATTTTCAGTTCTTCAGCATCCAGACAGAACGAATCAGGTCCCATAATTGATCCAGCGACTTCATCGGTAGTATTATCATCACAATAGTAAGTCGTCAGGTGATTACCGCTTCTATCAACATAAGGATAATCCCCACTTGTATGACAGATATCCTCAGGAACAACAATCATACTGGCTGGCACACTGCACGGAGCATACGCAAGTCGGTCCGACCTGCATCGAAAAATCGTTTCATTACAGAAATATTCGGGATACCGTACTTTATTCTCCACAATGCACCATTTATGAAGAAAGTCACATCCACTCTGATTCCCCCAGCTCATTTGTTCCTCCATTCCCCAGTTTGCCTTGTAGTACTGCAGATCCTCAAACAATGCCATTGTCAGTGCTGTGTAATAACCAGCGCCATAGTTGTAAACCGACATCGGTGTCATCAACTCATCTCTCGCAATGTGCCTCAACCAGTAAACTCGCGTATCATCACCCTTAGTCCCCAGTTCCATTCCCTTCAAATTAGAACAATTGTAGTGTTTTTGTGCTTTTTCAACTGTCTTTGAGGAGTTCACCACCTTACGTTTCGCGCCACGGAGCTCCACTTCGGTCACAATGCCTTTCCTCTCCATCTCAGGAAGATTGAATCCCAGTGCGTGTGCAATCAGTTGTGCAACACGGCGAACATCAAACCGCATGTACTCATATGTAGTGGGAGCGTAATTCACTGCTCCAACGATTGGACGACCTGTTGAATTTTCCACGGCACAAGTAACACCAAACGACGACAGAGGAACAGCTGCCACGTAGAGCACAAAGTCAGCATTATCAACACCATCACTGTGGTGCTCATCAGGTACAGTGAAATGTTTGCAATAACTCTCATCTTGAAACTGAGGAACCCTCAACTTTCCACTCCCACGACGAACAAACAGACGATCCTCGTGCAATTTCATAGCAGCGGGAATGATAATGTCCTCAAATTTCTTCATAGTATCCACACCAAGGACATCCTCCTTATCTCGACATTTATAGAGCTCACCATCATACTTCTTGATTTCCTTGTTCTCCTCATTACAGTACCTCGATTTGTTCTTCAAATCCCTCGTTGACACCTCAATGCGGATCAGCTCCCATCCTTCGTTCTCCTGTGTGGCGACGGTGTACGCCTGCACACCACTCTGTCCCTTGCGGGGCAACTCCCGCACAACACCAGTCGACTGCACGC